CACTACTCTGCGATCAACCCTGAGCGATCCTTCGCTAAGTCCCACTTGGGATTGTAACATGGTATGAGAGCTACTCAGGGATTCTTCGCATCACCACTTTCTTAAAATTCGCCGAACCAAGATCTGGCGAGCGGCACACGCTCCAAGACCAAGATGGCCGGAGGATCCGGAGGCCAAGCCAATCTGACGGCTGAAGGACAAACCAACCCGGCTGCGACAAATGAGGCGACAACTACTATCGGCACTGCCGCACTCGAGCAGTTATTCGCTCGGCTTTCAACTATGGAGAAAGAGCTCCAAGATCTGCGCAAAGGCGATGCGGGAACCTCTTCCCAACCAGTTCAACCTGGACAACCGGCCGAGAAAAGCCGTGATACCGCCGCGCATACCTTCTCCCTCGACACAGACAAATCAACAACAACTGCCCCCCGTCCAAGTGATGAAGCCATCAACTCTGCGTAAACACGCTTCCTCAGCGTCTCAAAAATCAAAACTACTGCCGCGTTTGACGGCAAGGACTTCTACACATGGAGTTTCGAGCTTGAGCTCCTCCTACAAACGGCGCAGATCTACCATTACTTCGACGGCTCCTATCCTAAACCGGTGGAAAACACCGAAGTCGCCAGGGCTCAGTACTACAGTGAGTCCCTCATGGCCTACAGTGTGCTGCTACGCAACATGACGCCTGCGGAACAACTCAACATTCGCTCCTACAAAGAGAGCGACGCTCCAGCCTTGGAAGCTTGGAAGCACCTCGTTGAAGTCTATCAGCCGAAGGATTCGGTCACCGCCAGCAGGCTTCTGCAGCAACTTTTGGAGATAAAGATGGGGCACGGGGAGAAAGCGAATCCGTACATTAACCGCTGTCGCAACATCCGTGACCAGATCACGAAGCATGGGAGTACAATCTCAGAAGAGATTTTCGTCAACATAGTCCTTCAAGGACTCGGGCCAGAGTGGAAGCCCTGTAAGGCGTTACTCCGACATCGAGGGACAATCTCAAAAGCCGCGCTATGCGCCGCACTCCTGTCCGAACAGCAGGACATGGATTCGAGCAGAACAAGCTCCGCGCCGCGCCGAGAGCGCCTCGCCTTCTACGCTGACAACCGTGAAGAGCGACGACAACCAAGGCGCCATTATTGCAAAATATGCAAAGTCTTCGGACACTCAACGGATCGATGCAAGTCCCGATCCAACTATCGCCACCCAAATTCCACTCACCACAACAAGTGGGTCGGCCGACAGGATGCTCGTCATCCTCAGTCTCAGCAACAAACACCTCGTCCACCTGCGCAACATCAACATCAGCAAAGTCAAGGATCTCCATCAGGAGCTCCCAGGAACATCATCGCGAACATGACGACGCGCCGACGTCGCACTGCTGAACCTGACGAGGAAGACGAGATTCGAGGAAGACTCCTTGAACCAGAAGAGGGATGGAATAACCCCCTCACTGAAAATTACTATAACCAGTATGACGAAGACGAGCAGGATTGGAACCTGCCAATCACCTTGCGGGAAAGCCCGCCGCATGACAATCAACACTACGTACCGGTGGGATGGAAGGAGGATGAAGACCCTCTCTTCCACAGTCGCTACAAGGCAACCCTGGTGACTCCGCGACTGGCGCTACTTCTGCGCAGAAACAACAACGACAACCACAACACCTGGTACCTGGACAGCTGCTGCGGACAGCACATGGTGGGATCTACGCGCTACGTCTCGAATCTGAGCCGCGCCCCCCCAACTTACGTCACCGTCGCCAACAACGAGCAACTACGCGCCAATGCGCAAGGCATTGTTGTTCTGCAAGCACGAGACAGCAACACTCACATCTCATTCAACGACGTACTCTACGTTCCGAATCTCCGTTTCAATCTGCTCTCGGCTGGACAACTTCGCGACTGCGGCGTCATCCTCACCACGGACCTCGCCACACGCGATCTCATTCTCACATACGCCCCGCCAGATACCCCTCCCGAATCGTTCAAGTATCTCGGACGAGCCCGCTCGATCAACGGGATCTATGTCCTGGACTTCGACGTACCTTCCTGCCAAGCTTCATCCGACGAGCTCGTGGACCTCGTTCCCCTCGAGTTTGCCTACACAAGCAAATGGGAGCACCCAGATGGACGACCATGGGTTCGCCGCAGTCCTCACCCCCGCGAAATCAACCTGCACAACCCAGACATCAATGGTCTCTGTACCACCTGACACACACCCACGGCAAGCCGCACAGAGCAAATCGAAAAGGAATACGCGGCAATTCAGGAAGCGGAGAGCGCCGAGGCAGAACCTACGGGCATGACGCAAGAAGAACTTGCAGTAACAACTCACCGCATCTTCGGCGAACCTAACGATGACTTCGGACAACCGCGTGTCGAACGACCGACACCATATGGAGAGACGCTCCGGTTCATCCTAGAAGCCAACACCACCACCTTCGACGAAGATGGACGACCACGTCCTTACGCCCGCGAAGTCTACCGCCGCGAAATTGACACGGCGTGGAAAGATCCTGACGCACCAGAGGAGCTCAGCGTCAAGGAAGAAAAAGACAAGGACCGGGCGGAAAAGAAACGGAAACTGTTTGAGGAACGTGTCGCGGCTGGATGGGACGAGGAGACAGCACGACGAGGCGCATGGGGAGATGAAGATTACGAACCCGAAGAAGGCGACGGAGCAACCTGGGGATCCGCCACTGGAGCATGGGGAGCCAGCGCCAGCGGTACGGTCAATACGGAAGGATGGGGCAACATCGGCGGATGGGAAGAAAACGAATACGTGGATGCGCCAATCACCAAGGAAGAAGAAGAAGAGATGGAACGCGAGATGCAAGCTGAGCGAGGAGAACCATCCCCTCGCGTCGCCATCCCACTCGGTCGACCCCCGCGCACCCGCTCACCTCCTTCCTCGCCCCATCGATGGCGTGATCGTTGGTCGGAGATTGAGGAGGGGAATGTACCACCAACTCCTCTGCGGGACTCACTTGGTCCAATCTCCCGCCCAGATCCTTTCGCGCGTTTTATTGAAGGCACCACGACTCCACTCACTATAATTCCCGATCGCGACTTCCTCGCCCTCTACCTCACCACGGCACCTGCAGAAGGGGAGACAACGGCAGAAACAGAACCAGAGGAGCCGGACAACGAAGCGGAACCAGGAGAAGAGGAAGAACCCCCACTCCAGATCCCGCAAGTCACGGAAGCAGAAGCGGCAGAATACCTCGCTCGCTATAAGCGCACTTCCGGCATCCGCGCCGAAGATGATCTCTGGCACCAGCGGATGGGACACCCCTCGCGCCAGACCCTCGCCAACTGCCTCCGTGCTAAAGTATTTCCAAGACCGATTCAGGCAGAAACATTTGAAGTGAAAAGAGCGGGAACAGGTTTGAAACGGGTTCCCGCGCCGCACGGTTTGAATTTGGTTAGAATAAGGGAATGTACTCCTTAGAGTACATGGCTAGCCTAGGTCTTTTCGTATTCCCCTGTATTCTTATATAAACCAGATGTATGCATGCTATTATCAACTCAGTCATTTACATTCACTCTGACCTGAGATTCAAACTTCCGCTGCAACACTACTCTGCGATCAACCCTGAGCGATCCTTCGCTAAGTCCCACTTGGGATTGTAACAGCCTCCACCCCTCCCAAAGTGCACCCTTGCTTTAAAACCACCACCACACCAATCTCCTACAATTTCAGTCACAATGGCTCTCCGGCCACGGCTCCTTCTTAGAAATTCAACTTACCAAATGCCATGCTTATATCCTTTAGTCCGCTCTATTCCTTTCCGTCGTGAATGTGCATTTTTCTGCTAAAACAAACTGACTATTTCGGCTGTAGTGTGTGGACCCTTTGCGAGCTTGAGAAAAGTCTGACAAAATCTGCGAGAGCGTGAATGGAGATGTCAGGACTCGCGAAATCCGCGTGGAGATTCAAATTTGTAGTAGTAAATACACATTTGATATTGCATTCCGCGCACTCTTTTGTTTGACAAGTCATATCACACTAAGTGATAGTATTACCTAAGCGAGGCAGCTTACCTGTTTCTATATAAATTTGGTAATTCGTAACTCGGTGACAATGTTACTCCTGCGGCAATGCTCAGACGCGCGCGGCTCGTCTTCAGCGTCGGAGCGCGTGAATGAAATGTCAGATTGACATGCGGCCAGCAATAATTTTCTGATGCGAGCTTGCATTGCATTTGCAAGCAAGCAGCAATAATTGTGGAACGCACAAACAACTGCGATCGCAGCAGCATTTCTGTTTCCTAGAAAGTACAAAGTTGATTCGCTCGGCATCTCACAAGTTCAGCAACACTGGAACCAGGGGAAACATCAGTGCCACTACGGAAATAAGCTCCTGCTGCCTGGTACAATCGTCCCTTGTTGCCCAACCATGGGTTCAGAGTCATGTCTTGCTCGAGTAGTAGGCCTTCTAGCTGTCATTCTATCCTTGATTCAATCCCAACCTGCCTTCGCCCTTCGATTGCTAAACAACCCCGCAGCAGCCCATGTCAGTGCTGATAATGAAGATTCTCTAGCGGGAGCTGCTACTACTGTTGAATCCAACAGCGGTCCAGAGGCAGCGAGCGTGATGCAGAGCGGTGCAGCGGACCCGTGCACGCTGTGGAGTCAGGAAATCGCCACGAATGCAGCGAGCTGGGACGTTGCGAAGCCCTCTACAGTTCACGAATGCTTGCGAAATTTCAAAATCAGGTAACCCGCGTACCTAGTAATCAAGAGGTTGACATCGCAAACATAACTTAAATGATCACTCAGTGGCAGTGACATCTCTCGATTTTTTCTTGAACGGTGAGCAGAGAGAGTGACGTGGAAGATCTTCGGTCCGTAGTCAACGGAGTCAACAACCACTACGTCTACAAAGACATCGCCGTTGACTCGCCCGACCAGACGAACCTTCCCAGCAGCGTCGACATCGTCGCGGAGCTGACGGCCATTCTGCAGCGCGCCGAGCAGGGCGAATACGAACGGCTGATGGACGCCCACGTGGACACGTTCAACGCGATCAACGGCCTGAACGACGGCCACACGATGTTTTCATCGAACTGCTTCTTCAGCATGGCCAGCTTCTTCCTGCCTCTCCCGCTTTTTGCGGTCGTGGAGGACGGTCAGCAGATCGTTCGCGTCGCCACGCGCCGATGTGAGTCCGCGCTCCGACTCGGAGTCTGCTGCGCTACGGAATCTGCCGCGCTTCGGAGTCTTCCGCGCCGCTTCTGAAGTCTCTCACACGCACACACGCACGGCGTTCACCCTAGCTCGTTTTCCAGTTACGCTTCGTTGATGTGTATGAGTAACAATTTCCGTATCCTTATTTGATGGTGCTGGTATCCCTTCAGACCTGGCGTGGTTCAACGGAATTGAAGAGGACGCGAAGAAAATCTGGGGCTTCGATTTCTCCGCCTACGAGTTACAACAGGTACACTAATGTAACTAAACAGCTGCGTTGAATGGGGAGACCATTCCTGTTTGCCTCTCCACCACTCTCCACCACTCCCAATCACTCTCTCGCTTCAGTGACTGTCCTCTCGCCCGCCCTCCCACTTCCCTTCCCACAGGTGCTCGCAATAGCGGGCCAGCCGGCAGTCTAGTACGTAAAGCAGTGGGCGGACAAGTATGGCGGCATGGTGCGCAACCCAACACTAAACATACGGTGTCTGTCCTTCAAAACCTACACTTCATCCTCCTCTCTCGCAGGTGCTCACAATCGAGGGCCAGCCTGCGGTGCAGTATATCAAGCAGTGGGCGGACAAATACGGTGGCATGGTGCGCAACCCCAGTGCGCGCTTCAACATGATGTTTGCCGGGCTTGATGCACAGGGCCGAGCCAGCTTGTGGCAGCACCCGGGGGAGTTCGCTCTCAGGGAGCTGGTTCCAGAGAGCGACACTCTGCAGGTGTCCATTCTTAGAGGGTGAGTGAGAAGATCTGTTGCGAGAAAGATTTGCTGGCGCATCCCATCCGTTAAATTGAGTCTTTCCGACACACTCCTAACGCCAGCTTGGGACAGCACCCCCAGGAGTTTTGCTTTAAGGGAGGTGGTTCCAGAGAGTGACACGCTGCAGGTGTCCTTTCGTCAAGGGTGAGACTATGCACACAACAAAGCAAGTCTATATCCTCTTCAGAATTCCTTCACCAATGACCGTGGTTGGTACCACTGATTTCTCATGCCGTGTTGTTTGTGATTTTCTGTTGTCATTGTTTTGTTTTTGTATTGTTCGGGCGGTTTCCCTGGTTCGGAGCAACAGGGGGGCAGCAGAGAACGTGAGTGTGCCATGGATGGCTGTCTCGAGCTCAGAGCCCTTCACCGACTCGCACTCCTACTGGACCCTCAACTGCGCCAAGCACCAAGAGCCCTGTGCTGACGACGCTGCTGCTGGCAATGCCGCAAGCACCACCAGCAGTAGCAGCAGCAGCAGCGAAGAGAGGGACTCCCGGGCGCCGCCTCCTGTGTTCCAGCGGGATGTGCTGAGGAGGCGACCTCAGTATAGGCATCGCCAGCAACCCCACAGGCGGCAGCAGCAGCCGCAGCAGCAGCCGCAGGAGAAGAAAGAACAGAAGGAGCAGAGCAGCGACGAGGTTACACCCAGGATACTGGCTGGCGAGGACGGGGCAGCGATCACAGTGGAGAGAGTGTCTGCTGAAGATGCCTATTACCTGGTATGGGGGTGTGACTGTATGAGGATGCGACTGTCTGCGGGTGACTGTATGCGGGTGTGACTGTATGCGGGTGTACGCATGCGTGACTGCATGCTGGTGTTGAAACCTTTCCCCTGAACGCAATCATGCACCTCAATCAAACTCCCAGCTTTCCCCTCCGCATCCCTCCTCTCTCCCCTGTCCAACCCCTTTCAACCGCACTGCATCCCTCGCAGGTGTATCTACTGAGCAAACGGCATTGATAGTGCTGCACACATTCGACGGGGACAGCACCACGGCGAGTAAGCTGACCGCCATCAACCCTGCCTTGCAACCCTCTACAACCCTTTCCATCCCTCCGCGCCCTTATGCACCCCTCTTCCCCTCCCAGGTGTATCTGGTGAGCAACCGCACGGCAGTGATAGTGCTGCACACGTTCGACGTGGACAGCACCACGGCAGTGGAGCTAGCAGTCACCAGCCCTGACGTACACCCCGTTGACTACCTCGCCGGGGAGATTCTCAGAGCCATGGATGCCGCCAGGAGGTACGCTCGCCTTCGCTGCTCGCCCTCCCTGCTCACCCTCCCTGCTTGCTTTCCCTGCTTGCCCACCAATTTTCCCTCCGAAAAAAAATTGGACTTTCCTCCCCCAGCTTCCGCCAAACATCCCCCCGCGGCCCCCCTGCCCCCCCCCCGCGCCTCCCTCCGCGCGCAGCACCAACTGCGCGGAGGTCATATTCGACGTGCGCGTGAACGGCGGCGGGTTTACCGCGCTGGGCTCAGTCACAGTTGTCACCCTTCTCGGCACGCGAAACGTGCCTCTAGCGAACGCAACCCTACCCATGGACTTCATTATAGGCACAAACTTCACCTGGAGCCTCATGGAAGATCAGGCCATTCCAGACTACGTCACGGACGGCTATACGCACCCCGGCGACGGCGCGTCGGTGCTCTCGTCTTCGCAAGACTACACGCCGCTGCAGAACATCTCGTTTACAGAGGCCGGTCGCGCCGGCACCTATACCGCGGATTTTAAGTCGTATTTCGAGAATTTCTACGGCGGATTGGCGGAGCGCGCGGGATCCGCGGAGCCGTTTTTCGGCGCGCGGCCGTTTTTGTTTCTGGCGGACGGCGACTGCTTTTCCACGTGCGCCATCCTCACGCACATGCTGGGTAAACGCTACAAAGTACCCATGGTAACCGTGGGTGGTTACCTCGACCAGCCCGTGTCCGTGAGCGCGTCGTGCCTGGGCTACACCATGCTCTCGTTAAACTGCGCCGTCTCGGTTCCGCTAAGCCGCACGAGCCACGCCAACGACCCGCGCGCGTCGAAACCGTTTAAGACGAACATGGATGTTTCCATGGCGTTTACTAACGGGTATGTGGACTCGAGCGTTCCGTGCGAGTTCGAATTTCTGCCGAGTCAGCGCCACGTGGACTACACCGTAGATCGCATCGACAAGCCCTGGGTCATCTGGAGCGACGTCGCAAAACTCTTCCCGGAATTGCCGCTGCCGCCGGTGATCGCACAGTCGCAGGCTGCAGCGTAACGCTTCCGAAACTGAACCGCCAGTCACGCTAACAGCTCGGCGAATAAAGAGGAGTTGCCACCGCAACCATCCTAGCATTACGTGTTTGACACGTTGAACGCTTCGTTATACAGCCACCCGCTCTACTGACTACCAACTGGACAAGCACTTGTATCACATTGTACCGGCTTTCTGTCCAGGTTTTCCTTTTGCTTTGTTATGAAAATACTCACTATACACAATACCCGTTATACGGAAAATTGTAGCACAATGGATTGAAGTAACTTAATTCCCGTTATACATTCGCTCGTGCACCCTTGATCTCCGTGAGACTTCATTGTGGCTATGAGGTGGTGTATGACTCATAATAAATTGTGACAAAAAAAACCAAGAAAATCAGCCCCAACTCCATAACAAGCACAGGAAACAAACCATCAGCACAACAAAGTAATAACCCCCCAACATAACATATCCCCCAAAAGCACGACAGACTATCACCACCAACATAAGCAAAGACTTTGGGTGCCTCATTTTCAGCCAACACCACACATGAAAAGTGCATGAACAACCCTGAAGCGGTGTCATAGGGTCTACCCTTCATCACTGTTGGGTATGCCCTGATGGATGGACTAGGCAGCAGGGGAGGCAAAGAGCTTGGCCACCTCACTCCAAATGGCCCAGGGCTTGTCAATGAGATCAACGGTGTAGTTGATGTGATGCTGGCTGGGCAGAAACTCAAACTCGCACGGAATCTCCGAATCCACATACCCGTTGGTAAATGCCATGCCAACCGACCCTTTCACCTTGAGAGGTAGCGACGCCATCTTTGGCACTAAGGCAGCGAGATTGCTGAGGCCTGGTGCCATCGCATAGATGTCAGGAATAGTAAACCCGAGGCACGAGGAGCCCACATCAGGGGGCTGGTTGGGCAAACCACCCACGGTTACCATGGGCACTTTGTGGCGTTTCCCCAGGACGTGCGTGAGGATGGAGCAGGCGGAGAAGCAGTTTCCGTCCGACAGGACCAGGAAGGGCCGGTCCCCAAACACCGGCTGCTGCCCCTTCCCTGAAAACTTGCTATTCTTCTTGAACGGCGCCGAGTAGTTCCCAACAGGGCCGGCTTTTGTGAAGCGGAGCTCGCGGAAAGGAGCGTAGCTAAAGACGCTGGAGAGGTCGGTGCCATTGAGGTCAACATATGGATTAAAGCAGTAGAGCATGGATGGGTCGAGTGAGAGCGCGCTCATGGCATTCTCAGTGTACTGGGTACCGATGATGAAATCCATCGGCATGGCGAAGGCAGAGTCGGGGACCTTGGCTGCCCCCATGAGGAGACGGATGGCTGTGTATGCGGCAAGAACGGAGCCGCCACCGTTGCCCCGCACGTCTAGGATGATTTGAGAGGCGCCGGATCTGGAGGGAGAGGGGGAACGGGGGGACGGGGGGACGGGAGGGGGGGGAGCATGGGGGGGCACATGAGCGTTGCTGCTGCGGTGGGACCGCCCGCCACCGTTGCCACGCACGTCTATGATGATCTGAGAGGCGCCGGATCTGGAGGGGGGGCATGGGGTGACGCACATAGCACAGATGGGGGGAGGTATGGGGTAACACATGGGAGAATGTGTGGGGAAACGAACGCACGGGGAAGAGACATGGAAAGAGGGATGGGGGAAATGGCAAGTAGCGGAAGGGTGGGAAAGTGATAAGGATAAAATGTGAGGTGAAAGATGAGTTGAGAACAGGGTACTAGCATGAGACATGGAGTGGGGACATCAGTGGGTCTGGAGGGGTAGAAGGAAGGGGGGATGTGACGCTGCAGGGTCAATAGATTAACAACTAGAGGGTAGAGGTAAAGGAGTACTGACACTGCTGCGGTATTAAAAGCCTTAGTGACCTCTGTGATCATATACTGCTCCTCATCGATCTTTTTCGCCTTCAACGCCTGCGTTACCGCGTCGCTGGGACTGAACTGGTGAATCCAGATCACAGCCGTGTTGCCGCCCACCAGGTATACCTGCTCGCATGCACATGCAGACATGCACACATGCACACATGTGCACGTGCACACACAGACATGCACACATGGACACATGCGCACATGTGCACGTGCGTGCACACACAGACATGCACACATGGACACATGCGCACATGTGCCCGTGCACACACACAGACATGCACACATGGACACATGCGCACATGTGCACGTGCACACACACAGACATGCACACATGGACACATGCGCACATGTGCACGTGCACACACACAGACATGCACACATGCACACGTGCGCACGGCCACACACACACACAAAAACAAACAAGTTGGCTGGGCGTTATTAGCCCCACGCGTCATTAGACAACAACTAGACAACAACCCAAGGATAACAACTAGATAGCACCCATCATGCAAGAATCAACAGAACCTCCACCATTCATCCCACCGACTGAAGCCAACCTCCTCACCAGAAAATTATCAGTCGTTGGTGAAATCCTCTTTACAGTCAGTCCTGCTGCTGCAGCAGAAAGCGACGCAATCTCGACATTCAAGTCGGTGCTGCCTTTTCTCGTACGGTCGTAGTAGACTGGAGCGGGATGGCGTTCGAGAAACCGGTCAATCATTGGAGTGTCCGCATGACCGACCGTGCTTGCATGCGCGCTTGCCTGCGCGCTGGTGCCGCCGGTAACAGATGGGTTATCCACGGCACAGTGTGCATTCCAGTACCCCGTGGCATTTGCAAAGACGGCAAGCGCAGATGTCCCGATCCATGGCACCTTTACGTCTTCCGTCGAGCTTCCATCCCTGGGAGTTGCAGCAAAAAGGAGAACAGGTGGGGTGGGAAGGGGGGCACATGAAGCGTGAAGGAGGTCCGATTAGGAGGACGCGTGAGCTAAACTCAGCAAGCAAGCAGCAGGGAAGAATCCAGAAGAGAAAACGGCAGATGCAGCGAAAGTTAGCCAATGAGCAGCAAGTACTGTAGCTCACGCTGTTGCGAATGACACCAGTAAGGTGTCATCTTCGGGAGCAAAGAGTCGCCGGGCGAATGCGCCTGGCACCTGGACGATGCTCGTCCCTTTCGCCGTTCCTGTTCCTGCCGCTTCATTCCTCGCGAAAGCGGTTGTGAATCGCGAAGCGCGATTGCGAAACATGCCCATTTCCTTGTCTGCCCAATTCAGGATGAATGTTTCCGCTTTGACCCCGTTTATAGCCACAACCTGCGACACGCATCATGAAGCATTAGTTTAGATAAAGCGTGTAAAGCTCGCTTGCAGGGAGTATTAAATAATAGGAACACGGAGATTAGCTAGCGAACATACCTGTCGGCCTTCGAAAAGGCCGAAATCAAAATTGTGCACAACCTTCGCAACATGGTCCATGCCCTCGGGAGTGACATCTGGCCAGAGGTAATAAATAAGAGGAACACGGAGTTTGATATTTAGGGGTACTATGCTTTGAAGTAGGATGCTGAGGAATATGATGTTGGAACAACTCATCACCAGAGGTGTGATCTCACATACTGGAACACTCGGTTCGGCGTGGCACAACGCGGCAGAGTGCGGAAACTCTTCATTCACCAACCCTCACCGGGAGGGAGTATATTGAGCAACACTCACATCGGCGCGGCGCAACGCGAATGATCTGCTGCCCGTTTTCGACGACAGCCAAGAGCGGCAACGGCAAGTCGAAAGTACCCATGAAGCATTGCGGAATGAAAAAGCTATGCCCGTCGTTGAGCGCCCACACCGCCCGATACGCCGCCATGTGCGCGTCAACCAGCCGTGGATACTTCCCCGCGCTGGTGTTCGCGACGATCTTTCTCAGCTCTGCGACAATATCGATGCTGCTCGGCAGGTTGGTCTGGTCCGGCGAGTCAACGGCGATGTGCTTGTACACGTAGTGATTGTCGAACGCGTTCGCGATCGACTGAAGGTCCGCCACGTCGCAGTTCTTCCTGCCAGATCGACCGTGGCAATCGTAGAACCGCAATCAGGCCAACATATTCGAGCGGAGCAAGCGTGGAGTTCGGTTTCAGTAGCCATTATTAGCGTGGATAAGAAGAGAGGGAGAAAAAACAAAAATCACGGTACAAGACTAGCAGTGACAGTACCTGAACAGGAAGGTGGCATGGCACGCGCTGAAGAGAGAAGGAGCCGCGAATCCTTTCCCTCCAGTGGCAGTAAAGCCCCCCAATGCTCTGGCAGTGCGCATCAACTCCGCCGACAGCGCAGCACACGGGTTGGGCGCGGCTCCGGACGGATTCGTATCACGACACCGCAGGAGCTGCCGCCGGCGCTGGCGCCGACGGGGCTGCCGTCGGCGCCGGCGGGGCTGTCGTCGGCGCCGCCGGGGCTAGCGTTGGGACTGCTTGAGGCGGCGCGGTAGCCCCCGCGGCGGTGAACGCGGCGGCGGGGTCCGTTTCGGCTGTGTTGGCGACGGGGAAAAGGGCGTCGTTCCAGAACCAGCGGCGGGCGGACGCGGAGGGCGCCTGGAGCAGCAATGCGAGGACGAGCAGGGGGAGAAGCCCCGGGGAGAACTTGGCGCGGCGTTCTCCGATGACAGCCATTGCGGCCATTCCGCTGCGGCAGATGCTGCTCTGGGGGACTGGCTCGGTTACGACTCGTGCAAGAGAGGCCCAGCGGCGGTAATGGCGCCGTTGCTGGTCAGGGGAGAAACCGTGCGGGAATGAAGTGTGCGGTGTTACTCACAAACACGTATATATATACTAGTACGACAGGCGGAAGTGGTTGGAACTTGGGCGCGAGTCGAGTCGGGATTGCCCGCCGTCGCGACGCCGCCATGGTATGCGACGAGCCCCGCCGCTCAGTCGCCCAGGGCAGAGACGGGATGCGACGAGCGCCCGAACCGAATATGCTTTGGTGTGGAGGAAGGACCACATGTAATCCTTTGAATGAGGACGGTTCGTCGCGCCCCTGCGACACATAGCCGCTGCCCTACGACTGTGCAATGCCCTGCGACCTCACTACGGAATGGAAAATGGCGAGGCTATTCCCTGGGATCTGATGATCGGTGGAGGCGAGAGGCAGCACGACTTCCAGTCGTGATACAGATGAAAGAGCAGGATGAGCCAGCCGAATTTTGCGTCGAGGTGTTCCCTAGGTTCTCAGAACGAGGGCGCATTTCTCCGGCAATTGTGACGTCCTTTGGAAACGTGGCGTCTAAACATTTTCGTTAATTGATTCACTGCCAGGTTCCTGGGAAAACTTTCCAGTCTCGAGGCGCTGGGAATGTCGCACCTATCCAAACACTTCAATTAAGTACCACTTTCAAGCGTCAAGTGTCGCAAGCAATCAGTGCAACCCGAGTTGAATTTCGAGAAATGTGTCACCCCTGGTTGCGGAGTCTGATCGTAAAAATGGGTCTGTAACATATCGGGAGGTTTGGTGCGCTAGGGAACCTGTACCAAACCGACAGGCTTGGTTCAGGTGTGTACGCATTAAACGGAACAAGAATGGCAGATTAATACTAGCAACACCTTATACTTCTTCAGGTGCATCTCCCCAGTTTCACATGTTCAGAATTCCAGGTTCTGGAGTAAAATCCATTTCACTCATGCATTTGTGATTGCCAAAAACCCCAGAACCTCAACCACCCTGAAAACGCCAACAGAAACGTCATCTCATAATTGCTTAGCTCAGACACATGGGTGCCATCTCCCAAGGCAGCAGCCTCAACACTCTTCTCCACACACGCCTCAATGTGCTCTGTGTCGTCCTCTCCCTCCACCATCAGACACACCTGGTGGGACAAGGGGAAGGGTGTGGGGAGGGTGGGGTTGGTTTTTTGTGCAACCCGTGCCATCCTCACCTTCCACCAAGAGCATGGCTGACCTCGTCATGGTGGGGTGAAGAGTGAAGTGGGCTATCAAGGGCATATCGGCACACAGGAGTGAGTTCATAATCTTCCATTGTGCACTGTGTGACATCTCATGAAACAAAACAAGGGTGGTTACATAAAAAACACCCCCGTCCCGTTCCTTCTATTTCCATCAACCCTTTCAACTTACATCAACCGATTTCCACCCATGCCTGCTCCAAGCCCTCCAGTAGCGCAATCTCCTTGGTGGCTCACCCCTTCGTGGCGCTCGTAATAGTGGCGCTATAAAGGCCTCTCAGAAGCACAACCATCACGAGCTCCCTCTGTCAAACTATATCCGTGTTAGTTCTGTGTAGGCTATAGAGGGGTAGCCCATATGGGGTACAACCCAATGTTAGGGTTAATACTTGTACCCACAATTCATTCAATGCAGTCATTCTAGCTTCTCATTCTGGCATGGTTTCGGAGCAGTAGGTCCGTAGGACCGTTTTTTTTTTTCGGGCCCACCATTCCGACTACGGTTACCGCGTTACCTCACTGCCATTCCCCGCGTCGCGCTGCCCCGCGCACGCCACCTGCGTGCTGCCCCTGCTGGCCGCGCGCCACTGCTGCAGCGCACGTTTTCTCTAGCGCGCTGCCCCATCTGCGCCCCGCGCGCTACTCCGCCGGCCGCCGGTAGCCCCGCGCGCCGCCTGCCCCTTCCGCGGTTGCCTGGTACACCCCGCGCGCCACCCGTCGCACTGTCCCGCAGCCCCGTGCGCCGCCCGCCCTGCTGTCGGGGCCGCCCGCTACGCCCTGCGCGCAGCCCGCCCTGCTGCCGCGGCCGCCCGCTACGCCCTGCGCGCAGCCCGCCCTGCTGCCCTGCGGGCCGCCTGCAGCCCCGCGCGCCGCCTGCCACAGCCGCGGCCGCCCGCTACGCCCCGTGCGCCGCACGCTCTGATGCCCTGCCGGCCGCCTGCAGCCCCGAGCGCCGCCTGCCACAGCCGCGGCCGCCCGCTTCGCCCATCGCACCGCCCGCCTGCTGCCCCGCCGGCCGCCTGCTGCCCCGCGCGCAGCCTGCCACTGCTTCGGCCGCCCGCTAGGCTCCGCGCGCCGCCTGCCCACTAAGCCCGCACGCCGCCTCTGCGCCTGCCCCTATTGCGGCCACCCGCTTCAGCCCGGCGCGCCGCCCCTGCTACTGCTGCTTGCCTGCTATCGCTCTGCCCTGCCAGTTCCGCGCCAGCAGCTATGGCCACCCTCCGAGTTCTGTCGTTCGATCCTGAGGGCCGCACGATTCAGTTTAAGACCTGGCTCGATGACCTGCAGCTGTTCCTAATGAGCGATAGCAAGGACAATGTCTCTCTCTTTGACCACACGTCTGGTGCCTCAGTCGCTCCTGCTGCCACAGCTGAGCTTAGCGCCCGTTCCCAGTGGCAGACTCGTGGCGCTGCTGCTCGCCTAGCCGTTCGCAACCACCTGCCGCTAGCCGAACTCACGCATTTTGGCGAACACAAAACCGCTAAGGCCCTGTACGACGCTGTAGTTGCTCGATACTCCTCCCCTGCCACTGCTGCACTTAGCCGCCTCATGCTGCCCTACCTGTTTCCTGAGTTGTCCACCTTTGCCACAGTTGCCGATCTTATCACCCACCTTCGCACTAGTGACGCTCGCCTTCGCGCGGCCCTCCCCAACGAGTTCTTAGCTAAGAACCCGCCTCCGATGTACTGGATCCTCCACTTCATAGTGGCCCGTCTCCCTGACTCTCTTCGCTCAGTCAGGGACCACTTTCTTGCTCGCTCTCCCACCGATCTCACTGTCGACCTCCTAGAGGAGCAGCTTCTAGCCGCCGAGACTAGCATAGTCACTGTAGGTGCTGCTTGTGGCGCTCCTCGCACCCCCATCTTTGAGGGGTGCTCTCCCTCTCCCCTCGCCCCCTCCTACGCTACTGCCGCTGCTGCTTACTTCCTTGGTGCTGAGTCTGTTGGTGCTGCTTCTACTCCTAGTGGGAGGCGCTGCAACGGCAAGGGCAAGGGAGCCAAGAGTAGCGGAGGTGGCACCGGGGGGGGTGGTGGTGGAGGAGGTGGAGGAGGAGGTGGCGGAGGGAGTGGTAGCGGGAGTGCTGGCGGGAGTGGTGGCGTCTGTGGCGACGGTGGGAGTGGCGGTGGAGGCGGTGGCGGCTGAGTGGGTGGCGGTGGCGGTGGCGGTCGGGGCGGCGGTGGCGGTCGGGGCGGAGGCACTGGCGCTGGCCAGAGACAGCAGCAGCAGCAGCGTCCCCGTGAGGCCCTTACACCCCAGCAGCTTCGTGAGTGGCTTGCTCAGCGTGGGACGTCTGGGGGTAGTGGTCGCTGCCCGTATGTCATTCGCACAGGTGACCGCGCTGGTCACACATGCGGGAAGTTCCAGACCCAGCACCGCTGCTTCTCCCGCCTTGACGACGCCTGGCGTGAGGAGATGGGCCAGGAGGTCGAGCGCCATCGCTGGCATGAGCTGCTTAGGGCTGGTGTAGACATCTTTGCTCTTGACTATGATGCTATCCTTGCTGCCATGTATGCATTGACTGTTATTGCTGAGAGAGACTGTTACTTGTGTGTGCCGCCTGACCTAGGTATAGAGGCTGCTGCCTTAGGTGCGAGCGAGTCTGCTCTCTCAGGTACTGCGCCTGCTGAGGCCTTGCACACCTTCACGACTCAGTTGCTTCCCACTGTTTCTTTCGTGACAGTACTGCACTCACTCCACTCACTGCACATGTTGCAGTCTCTCTGGCTGACCCCTCAGGGGGCCCAGTTCTTGCACGGTCCACCACTGTGCTCCCGTGCCCGGCGGTTCTGTCTTGCTCACTGTCAGGCCTCCACCTCCCCTCGTTCTCTACGAACTTGGTGAGCAACGCAATTCTCCAGGACCAGTGGGTTGACACCTTTACCCCTGGAGGACAGCGTGTGGCGATCTGTACGTGCTCCCAGACCGGCCGCCACCTGGCCACATTTACCCGTCGGCCAGGGTCGAGTCTTTACACATTGACGACCGCGCCTCCTCAGGTAGCTGCCACTGGTCAGGTGTCTGCGTCAGGTCAGGTAGCCTCCCCTTGTTCGTGTCGCTCCCTGCCGCACCAGACTCTTCTCTGGCACCACTGTCTGTGTCACCCCTCCTTGCCACGTCTTCGTGGCATGCACCGTCGCCTCCTTGTGTCTGGTCTTCCCAGGTCTCTCCCTCCCCTCCCCGCCTGCGCTGCCCTGCCTTCCTTGTGTCGAGGGGCGGCAGCGCGCCGCTCCTCACTCCTCCTCGTTTCCCCCGACAGAGGCTCCCCTGCAGACCCTCCACATGGACGTGTGGGGCCCAACCTGTGTTCGTGGACAGGGCGGCGAGCGGTACTTTCTGCTGGTTGTCGACGACTACTCGCGTTACACCACGGTCTTCCCCTTGCGCACCAAGGGTGAGGTCCCTGCTGTCTTGATCCCTTGGATCCGAGCAGTTCGTCTCCAGCTCCACGAGCGGTTCCGCCAGGACCTCCCTGTCCTGCGCCTGCAGTCTGACAGAGGTGGTGAGTTCTCCTCCGACCTCTTGCGGGCCTTCTGTCAGGGGGAGGGCATCCTCTAGTTGTTCACGCTTCCGGGCTCACCACAGCAAAATAGGGTTGCTAAGCGCCGCATTGGCTTGGTCATGGAGACCGCTCGTACCTCCTTGATCCATGCGGCGGCTCCCCGTTTTCTGTGGCCGTTTGCGGTCCGGTACGCCGCGCAGCAGCTCAACCTC